GTATATTATATATGTATTGTTAGAATTTGTATATATTCTGCATTTTTCTAGTAATATTAAGGTGACCATACGTCCCAAATTGGCCTGGACAGTCTCGGATTTCCACCTTGTGTCCCGTGTTTTTCTTAAAGCAATATTTGCCCCGAATTTTGATTTTTTGTCCCGGATGTCTCGGTTTTTCGAAAATTAATAGTTAAATACTATTGCTAATTTTTCAAATTAATTATGGAGAAAATGAATTAAATAAAAACATATTGATAAAAAATATAAGATACAATATCATAGATATTGCCTATAATAGTCGAAGTATAGAGCTAATTACTAAAATAAAAAAAATTCATTTAAAGGAAACTGTTTTTTTATTGTATCTTGAATAGCATTTGTTGTATAACCGACTAACACACGACACCCCCCCCCCTCCCCCGACGTCCTGGATTGCATAACTAAAAATTGCCGTCCCGGATTTGACTTAAAAATATGGTCACCTTATTAGTAATATACTTGATGGAGACTTAAAATCTGATATTTTTATACTTTATTTTTGTTAGTTAATTTCATTGTCTATAATTCGAGTTGTAATGTTTAAAATACGATTTCATTTGCATCTTCTATCATGTGGATTTGTATTCTATCATAAACAAAAAGTTAGCAAGTCTTTCTACCCCAAGATAGAAAGCTCGCATTCGATTTTTGTTACCAATCTTTAATGTATTATGTAACGCAGTATAGAACAGGTCAGAGCACATACTGTCATTACGATCAACACTTAAAAATTACATTGATAAGTATATGTAATGACAAAGACATGTGCGAAATGGACCCACGACTTGTTCCTAACTCAATTTAATATTCATTATGCATTCCACATTGTCGCATTTGTTGCGTTAATCAGTATACGAATGCACGTAAGTCGTAAGTATATTTGATACCAGAACCGGTAATAAGAAGATTTATTTATGAGATATTTAAGATGAAGAAAAAGTTTACTGATTAATGTTTATTTTTGTGCCCAAATCAACATATATTTAATTAATGATAATTCTAAAAAAATCAATAATTTATATTCTATAGTAAAAAAATATTTCTATTCAATTCGGTGAGAGCTATGCTCTAATACAGAACAGAATGATATTTGAAATAAATGGATTTTATATTAAAATTCAAATAGTTTAATATCAATGGTATTTGCAAGGTTTTTGCGATTTTTCTATCTAACGCCTTTATTTAAAATATATATATATATATATATATATATATATATAAATCGTTTTGTTAGTTTTCCCTGAATACTCCTCTCATTACTTTTAACTCTTACAATAAGTTATATATTTCAATACATTTAACTTAATATAATGCAGAATATGTTTGTATTCGTAAAAATAATTATTGTAAAAAAAAGTTTAACTTTTTCCTCAAAATTTCATACCTATTTATACGTATATACAACAGTATTTTAACAAATGCAAGAATTATATAAGTTAAATTTCTGCATATATACTTGTAAAATGTTAAGATTTAATTTTAAACAAGTTAATAATAATACATTTGCGCAATGTGTACGTCTACCTTGAATCATGCAGTAGTGATATTCTTTTCCAAAAAAAAATGATTATTAAAAATGATTTCAAGTAAAAATAATTCTCAGACACTGCTGTGTGAGAGAAATGCTTGTAAAAATCAATGATAAAATAACAGAGACATTGAATAGAATATGCTATAAAATATAAAATATATGAGCCTCTAGTTAAAAAGAACAATGTTGCATTTCGTTACTACCTATGTATCATCAATACCTATGTATCAGTATCAAAACATGATAGAAGAT